AGACCAACCTGGAGTGGCTAGAAGAACAGAAGATACTTCTTGAAAGAAAGACCTACAGGAAAAATATAAAACAACATAGGCAGACCGAGTGTTACTACAAGAAGAAGCAATTTGCCCAGGAAACATCAAGGCAAGTGGTTGGGTCCCCTCAGTGCAAACCCCCTTCCAAGACTGTATTCCAATGGGAATACATGCTCTGATTGGTGACCATGCTGGTCAACGATAAGGGGAAGTGAGTGAAAAACAGCAATGAAGCGGGGAGCTAAGCCCTACAATGTTCAATAGACTTCTGTGAACCGGAGTGAAGACCTGGTTGGCCAGCAGTGTGGCAAGACCTGGGGACTCTTGGCCCCAGAGCCAGTGACATAGCCACAGAGGACTAGTGTTGAGAGTAAAGTGTCCAGCTGATAAGAAGAGAGGATATACTCAGAATATCCACACTTGCAGATAATACTCATTTGACCTGGCTTCAATGCCTGGATGACCAGAGCTCAACCAGAAGAAGAAAGAATAGGAAAAAAAAAGTATTCTGATACAATTTAATTAACTTGACCTACACCTATGGATGCAGTAGCTCAAAAGACGGAACAAATCCTTATAGCAAGAATCATTCCCACCCCCTCCACACACAGAGTAAACAGGGATGGGCAACTTGGACATTGGCTACCCAAAATGGGGTGGGGGGCTACAAAGGCAAGAAGTGACTGGCTAGCAAGCTTTCAAGAGGGAACCTTGATCCAGAGGGCCTGGAGGAAGATAAAATCTCCAGTGAGTAATATCCAAACTGTCTAGGCAGGGCTGGTGAAATGAAATGCAGACGGGTCTCTTGTTATACAATAGTGAATAATTGTTATCAGGACTGATTGTGAGGGTTGGAAATGTAAAGGTAGACATATTATAGCAAGGAAGGGAGTGATTAACTTTCCAGTCTAGGAGTGGAGGTCCCTAGGACCATCAACAGAGAAGAGCAGAGATCGGGACCCTACCCAGAGAAGCAGTTATGCCTGAGATGGAGGCAGAGAAGATGACATGGAGAGATGAAGCAGCTGGGTACTTTAGATCCAGAGAGGGAGAGGGACTGTGTGCTGAAGACCGGGGGGGAATGGGGGGCAGGCTTGCAGGGTATACCCTTTGGTTGGTTGATGATGCATGGAGGAGATTGTAACCCTGACAATGAGATGATATACGATAGAATGAATATAAAAATAATGTTCTCCCATGTAAACTATCACATAATTCACAATAAAACATTCAAGAAAAAAAATTACTTTGTCTGAAGGAATGATACAAATGAAAGAACTGAAGTAGGAGGTTTTGGTACATTTTGAAGAAAATGTAAAGGTAAACCAAACATACATGTGGTTGCCTTGGTGGCGCAGGAAGTCACACCTGTGGCCATGGAGAAGTTAGGCTAAAGCTCAGCTCTCTCCATTGCTGTCTCCCAGAGTGTGCTTGTCAAAGAGATACTCTGACCGGCCAGAATCCAGGGTCTCCATCTTGTGCAAGTTAGTTATATGGTCACCCAATTCTTTGATGGATTTCATCTGCTTGTCCAGGTAGCGCATTTCAATGAAGTCACACAAATGGGAGTCATTCTTGTCAGTGGCCAGTTTGTGCAGTTCCAGTAGTGACTGATTCACATTTTTTTCCAAGTACAGCAGCACTCCATTGCATTCAGTCTACTCTCCCAGTCATCCCAGTCTGGTTTCTTGATATCCTGCAGGAAGATTCGACCACCTCGTTGGTTCTGCAGCTTCATCAGATTCTCAGCATGTTCCTGCTCCTCATGAGATTGGTGCAGAAAATATTTGGCAAATTTCTTCAAAGCCACATCGTCGCGGTCAAAGTAGTAAGACATGGACAGGTAGATGTAGGAGGCGTAGAGCTCCAGGTCGATCTGGAGGTTGATGGCAGTCTCTGAGTCCTGATTGTAGTTCTGGCGCACCTGTGAGGGGGATACAGTCGTCATGACGGAGGTGGAGGAGAGGAGTGGCGGCGCTGTGCTGGAGCGGTGGGGACCTTAGAGCTTCCTAGGGCGCAGCTGGCTGGAGGTGGTGGAGGGTGATTGGGAGCGGCCAACTGAGGGATCACTGTTGAAGCAGGAGACCGTGGCGACTCTGTGAATAATGTATGCTTCCTCTTCTCTTTCTCATCTCAAAGTCAACGAATGTCTATGGACCATGGCCAAACTTGGCCAAGGTCTTCACTGTTGCATTTCTCCCACTTCTACTCATGATTCATCCAGAGTGGTCACCAGTGAGCATACAAGACTTTTCTTGTGTTCCCTTTGAGTTTCATTCTTAGAAGGTGGTTTATCCTGATAGGCTGATTTTTCTTGCCTTGATGGCTCCCAGGCGAACAGCTTACTTGTTCTTGCAACAGCCAAACAGTGCTTTTCTCTCTCTCTCTCTCTGCTGGTCTTTCTTTCAAGAAATATCTTCTGTTCTTCCAGTCATTCCAGGTTGCAAGTTGTGTCTGCATGTGTTTTCAAGTGGGAATAACCCACCTAAGAAAGTTCTAGGTGAGGCTAAGGATTCTACCTAAGGCTTCATACTCAAATGCTTAACAAGAAGCTTATTTCCCTGGGAAAATTCTAGAACCTCCTTTATCTAACCCAAACAGTTATAAGATGAAGACATTCTTATAAGGTTTCTGTAATTATATCTCCCAATATTCCTTTCTATCCCACTTAAATGTCTATTTTACACTAGTAGTCAGGGGAAACAAATATCGACATGATAGTCAAGAACATTAAAATTCTTTCCCCTCCTTTATCCATTCAGATTAAGTTTGGATCCCTGCATTACAGAACCCTGTTCCAAGGTTGTGTGCACATCATTATTTACTTTTATCCCATTTAGCCCATGCATACCTCCCTAAGGCTTCCCCTATTTTCCTTATTCAGCTACCCCCTCCACATTCTTGTGTGTTGTCTTCCTCTCCTTGTATATTGCTCCATTACTGGAGATATCATGTTTCTATCCCCTAACCTGTGAAATACTGTCCCCTCCCTCCCACCCCTAGTAACCATCAAATGATTTTTCTTTTAGTATGGAAATCTTGTCTTAAGCTTTTATAGTAATGATCTTATGCAATATTTGTCCTTTTCTGATTCACTAATTTCACTCAGCATTATGTCCTCAAGATTCATCCATGTCATGGGTGTTTTGCATCTTCATCGTTATTTTTCAAGGTAGCATGGTATCCCATTGTGTGTATGTACCAAAGTTTATTTATTAATTCTTCCACTGATGGGCACTTAGGTTGTAAATACTATTGTGGTGAGCATTGGTGTGCATATATCTACTCATAATCTGGCTCATGTATTTTGTGGATAGGTGAGTAAAGTTTTACTCAAGGTAATACAGAAATGGCTGGAACCATACATTGACAGAAAATTTCCAGAGGTTAAAGCCGGATTCAGAAGAGGATATGGAACAAGGGATATGATTGCTGACGTCAGATGGATCTTGGCTGAAACCAGAGAATACCAGAAAGATGTTACCTGTGCTTTATTGACTACACAAAGGCCTTCGATTGTGTGTATCATGACAAGCTATGAACAATATTGTGAAGTATGAGTATTCCTGAACACTTAATTGTACTCATATAGAAGCTGTACATAGACCAAGAGGCAGTTGTTTAAACAGAACATGGGAACACTGAATGTTTTACAATTAGGAAAAGAGTGCAACAGAGCTGTATTCTTTCACCGTACTTATTTAACCAATATGCTGAAAAAATAATCTGAGAAGCTGCGTTATATGAAGAAAAATGAGGCAACGGGATTGGAGGAAGACTCATTAACAACCTGCAATATATAGATGATGAACATTGCTTGCTGAAAGTGAAGAGGACTGACAATACTTACTGATAAATATCAAAGACCATAGCCTTTGGTATGGATTGCATCTCAATGTAAAGGAAACAAAAATCCTCACCACTGGACCAATAAAGAACATTATTTTCAATGGAGAAAAGATTGAAGTTGTCAAAAACTTCATTTTTCTTGAATCAACCATCAACGCTCATGGAAGCAGCAGCCAAGAAATCAAACAACGTATTGCATTAGGCAAATATGCTGCACAAGACCTTTTAAAAGTGTTGAAAAACATAGATATCAGCTTGAAGACTAAGGTGCGCCTGATCCAAGTCATGGTATTTTCAATAACCTCATATGCATGTGAAAGTTGGACAATGAATAAGGAAGATCATAAAAGAATTGATGCATTTGAGTTAAGGTGTTGGAGGAGATTATTGAAAGTACTGCCAAAAGAACAAACAAATGTGTATTGGAAGAAGTACAGTCAGAGTACTCCTTGGAATCCAGAATGGCCAGACTTTGTCTCTCGTACTTCGCACATGTTGTCAGGAAGGACCAGTCCCTGAAGAAGGATACATGGATGGTCAGAGAAAAGGAGGAAGACCCCCAGCGAGATGAATTGGCACAGTGGCAGCATCAATTGGCTCAAGCGTGGCAACAATTGTGAGGTTATCCCAGAACCAGTCAGTGTTTCGTTCTATTGAGCATAGGATCGCTATGAGACAGTACCGACTAGATAGCACCTAACAACAACAACAACCAAGTACAGGACTTGCTGGATCATACGGAATTTCTATTTCCAACTTTCAGAGGACTCACCACACCATTTTCCAGAGTGGTTGAACCATTTTACCCAGTCTCTCCACATCCTCATCAGCATTTATTGTCTTCTGCTTTTTTAAAACTTCATTGCTAATGCTGTTATAAGATGATGTCTCATTGGTTTGATTTGTATCTCTCTAATGGCTAATGGGAGTCCTGGTGTGGTGCTGCAGGCTAATGCACTGGTCTGCAAGCTCTGTTTGAACTGTGAGTTTGGAAGTTCAAGTTCACTGGCCACTCCTCAGAAACTCTATAACGATCACTGTGAGTAAGAACCAACTCGATAGCACTTAACAACAAACAACAGCAATGGCTAATGATTGAGAACATTTTTTCATATGTTTGTTGGTTGCCTGAATGTCTTATTTGGTCAAGTACCTGTTCATGTCCTGTGCCAACTATTTAATTAACTTATTTGTCTTTTCTTGTAGAGGTGTTGTAATTTTGTATATATTTTAGATATTAGTCCCTTGTCTGATAAATCATTGCAAAATATTTTTTACCTATTTATCAGATCCCTTTTTACTCTTTTGATGCATATTATTTTCTAATTTTTGTATACTCCATTCATTTATATTTTGTGTATATTGTCTTCTATTATTTGTGTGTTTTTTGCATTTTTTGATAGTCTGTGTATGCCATGTATTAGAGCTCTTAAGTTTGTTCCTGTTTTTTCATTAACAATATTTATAGCTCTGGGATTTTCATTTAGGCGTTTAATCCATGTTCAGTTGGGTTTTGTATATGATATGTTTCATTCTTTTGCAAATCGATTTACAGCTTTGCCTGCACCATTTGTTGAAAAGACTATCTCTTCCCCATTTAATATGTTTTGGACTTTTGTCAAAGATCAGTTGAATCTCTGTGAATGGATTTACCTCTGGGTTCTGAATTCTGTTCCATTGATCTATGTATCTTTCATTGTACCAGTACTAGGCTGTTTTGACTTACTGTGGCTGTGTTGTAAATTTTGAAATCAGAAAGTGAGAAGCCTCCCAGTTTGTTCTTCTTAAGCAATACTTTGTTTATCCAAGATCTGTTTCCCTTCCATATAAAGATCTTGATCTCTATTTCCATCTCTTTAAGAATGTTGTTGGAATCTGGATTGGGATTGCATTATATCTATCGATTGCTTTATGTTGTATTGAAAATTTTACAATGTTATTTCTTCCTATCCATGAGCATGGTATATTTTCCCATTTTTGTAAATCGCTTTTGTTTTCTTGTAGTAGTGTTTTGTAATTTTCTTTATGTAAGTCTTTTGTTTCTCCAGTTAGATTGATTCCTAAATATTTCATCCTTTGGGTGGCTATGGAAAATGGAACTGTTTTCCTAATTTCCTTTTCAGCACTGTTTTTATTAGTATAGGGTGAGGGTGGTGCTGGCAGTGGTGTGCTATAGAGTCATTTCTGACTCACAACAACCCTGCATAAGGTTCTGAGGCTTTACATTTTTACAAGAGCAGAAAACCTTATCTTTCTCCCATGTTGTTATTGTTGTTGTTGTCAGGTGCCATATTGAGTTGGAACCGACTCATAGCAACCCCATGCACAGCAGAACAAAACAACGTCCGATCCTGGGCCAAGCTCACTACCGCTGCCACACTTGAGGCCATCAATGATGCCACCTAGCCAATCCATCTCGTTAGAGGTCTTCCTCTTTTTCTCTGACCCTCCACCTTACCCAGCATGACATCCTTCTCCAGCGACTGTTTCCTCCGGACAATATGTCCAAAGCATGAAAAACGAAGCTTAGCCATCCTGGCCTCCAAGGAGCATTCTGGCTGCACTTCTTCCAAAACAGATCTATTGGTTCTTTTGGCAGTCCATGGAACTTTCAGTATTCTCCTCCAACACCACAACTAAAAGGCATCAATTATTCTATGATCTTCCTTATTCACTGTCCAGCTTTCGCATCCATATGAGGCTATTGAAAACACCATGGCCTGGGTCAGGCACACCTTAGTCCTCAAGCTGACATCTCTGCTCTTCAATACTTTAAAAAAAGGTCCTGTGCAGCAGATTTGCCCAATGCAATACGTCATCTGATCTCTTGACTGCTGCTTCTGCGAGTGTTGATAGTTGATCCAAGAAGAATGAAGTCCTTGACAACTTCAATCTTTTCTCCATTGATAAGAATGTTGTTTATTGGTCCAGTGGTAAGGATTTTTGTTTTCTTGACATTGAGATGTAATCCATATGGAAGGCTGTGCTCTTTGATCTTCATAAGTAAATATTTCAAGTCCTCTTCACTTTCAGCAAGCAAGGTTGTATCATCTGCATATCGCAGGTTGTTAATGAGTCTTCCTCCAATCCTGATGCCACGTTTTTCTTCATAGA